CTCCACGGCCCTGCCCTGCCCCTCATTCGCTCCCTCCCTTGTCGCCCATCTCCAACCCCCCAACCCCCCTCCGGGTGTGGCATGGCATGGCATGGCATGGCATGGCATGGCACGGCACGGCACGGCACGGCAGGGGTCATCGGAGGAGTACATAGAGGCCAACATCCAGCTCGCCCTGGCGCTCGTGCGCCGGCTGCACGGCGCCACCGCCACCACCGCCAAGATCGTGAGCCCTCAGCCCTGCCCTGCCCTGCCCTGCCCTGCCCTGCCCGCCCTGCCCTGCCCTGCCCTGCCCTGCCCTGCCCTGCCCTGCCCTGCCCTGCCCTGCCCTGCCCTGCCCGCCCGCCCGCCTGCACGCCCTGCCCTGCCATGTGCGCCGCTGCCGCTCCATCCCCCCTGCGTCTCCCATCCTCTGCACCTCGTCCCCCTTGTGCCTGTATCCCCCAGCTCACTCCTCTCCGCTCATCTCCCCAACTCCCCTCTCCGCTCGTTCCCCGTGGCCCCTCAGGTGCTTCCCGACGGGCCAGAGAAGCGCCGCTGCTCCCGCCGCTTCAAAGCTGCTCTGGACATGGTGAGATGAAACGACATGGCAGGGTGAGATGAAACGACATGGCAGGGTGAGATGAAACGACATGGCAGGGTGAGATGAAACGACATGGTGAGATGAAACGGCAAGGCGAGATGAAACGGCATGGCGAGATGAAACGGCATGGTGAGATGAAACGACATGGTGAGATGAAACGGCATGGTGAGATGAAACGGCATGGCGAGATGAAACGACATGGTGAGATGAAACGGCATGGCGAGATGAAACGACATGGTGAGATGAAATGGCATGATCAGAGGAGTGTAGATGAAGTGCGGTGCAGTGCAGGTGGAGCATACGGAAACGAAAGAACGCAATCAGCTGCAGAGCCATCCAGATTCAGTAGTGACAGGCCATGCCATGCCATGCCATGTGATGTTGAGTCGTGACTCACTCCTCTCATCATGCGTGCGGTTTGGGGCCCATGCAGACGGACGGGGTGTCGCTGGGGTGTTTGGAGGACGACCCTGTGGCAGCACCGGGGCAGGCGGGCGCACCGCAACCACGCAGCGCGGGTGGACGAGGAGAGGGCGGGTTCTTGTCGGCGCTGAAGAACGCGCTGGACCTTGACTTCGGGGGGCAGGAGACCGGTGCGCGCACGCGTGCACGGGTGCTGGGGACAGTGGGGCAGAAGGGGGGGGGGGGAGGAGGGAGGAATGGTGTGGGGTGGGAGAGGGATAAGAACATGCTGTTCGTGCGCCTTTTTTTTCACCTACTCCTCTCCCGGCCCTGCAACCCTGCACCCCCCTTCCACGACCCTCTTGCTGTTGCACTCTCTTCCCTCTGCCCGCCCTGCCTTACTCTCGTTGCCTCGTCTATTGTAAAGGCTGTGAGCTGCGTTGCGCCCACTGTCCCTTCCGCTCTCTCCCTCGCCCTTCAACTCCCACCTCCTCTCCACACTTGAATCGCCATCCGCTTGCCCTCTTCCCCGTGGCGGGCATGGCAGGCGAGTGGGCAGCAGCAACGCCATCGGATCTGTACATCATCGCCAACGCCAGCTGCCAGGAGCTGCCCGCCGTTCAGGCCTACCTCGTCAGTGCTGCTGCTCTCCCCCCCTCGCCCCTCTCCCTTCACCCCTCGCCCCTCCCCCCTCGCCCCTCCCCATTCCCCTCTCCACCTCCTCTCTCCACCCTCCCATCCACGTACCCAGCAACTCCCGCTCACCCCCACTCTTGTGGTGGGCTGCCAACCCATGCGCTGCTCTTTGCACCCCCTGCACATGCGCTGCTCTTTGCACCCCCTGCACATGCGTCCGCCGTGTTAGACCAGCCCGCCAGTGCATCCACCACGGACACATCTGAGTCACCTTTTGACAATGTCACACGCTTCTTTTTCTACATGGGGAATCATTGGTGCGTGGAGGTTACCAAAACGAGTGGCCAAATTGTTAATTCCTGCTTATAGGTGCTGATTCCTGTAGAGTGAAGTTCCACTTTTCCATCTACTGTCCGCCTACCACTGCAGCCTTGTAAAGGGATGCCTCGCAAGGAGGCCTCACGTTTGGCATCTAGCTGCTCGCTTCTTCGCTCTCCTCAATGCTCATCTCACTCCCCACCCACCCTCCATGCCCCTCGGTCACCCCACTGCTACCCTCCCCCACCTCCCCCCGGCAGGAGAAGCTCCCCCCCGCCACGCCGGTGCTGCTTTTCAACCTGGAGCTCGACACGCTCAGGTGATTGCAACAGAGCTCGACACACTCAGGTGATTGCAACAGAGCTCGACACACTCAGGTGATTACAACAGAGCTCGACATGCTCAGGTGATTACAACAGAGATCGACACACTCAGGTGATTACAACAGAGCTTGACATGCTCAGGTGATTACAACAGAGCTTGACACACTCAGGTGATTACAACAGAGCTTGACACGCTCAGGTGATTGCAACAGAGCTTGACACGCTCGGGTGATTGCAACACTGGCAGTTTGAATGGACTTACATGTGTATGTGTCTCCACTGCACCCTTCTCCACTGCACCCTTCTCCACTGCACCCTTCTCCACTGCTGCCTCTTTTCCGCCCCAGCTACCCTCTTTGCATCCATTGCCCCCTCTCTGTCCCCTGATCCCCTGCTCCCCCTGCCCTCCCTCACCCCTGCGCCCCCTCCTCCCCCCCCATCAGGGCGGACCTGGGGCTGCTGGGCTTCCCCCCCAAGGACCTGCACTACCGCTTCCTCTCCACCTTCCGCCCCGTCTTCTACCTGCGCCCGCGCGACTACTCCAAGGTGCGCGACTACTCCAAGGTGTGCGTGCGGCAAATGCTGCAAGGTGCTGCAAGGTGCGCGTTCAAATGACCGATAGCGTCACTGCCCACTTGGTCATCCGTGCTCCCCCTCACACTCCAAGGTGCTCCCCCTCACACTCCAAGGTGCTCCCCCTCACACTCCAAGGTGCTCCCCCTCACACTCCAAGGTGCTCCCTGCGTTATCATGCCTCTCATTGCTCTCCTACCTTCCGCCCACTGCATGCCTCACACCACCCACTGCATGCCTCACACCACCCACTGCATGCCTCACACCACCCACTGCATGCCTCACACCACCCACTGCATGCCTCACACCACCCACTGCATGCCTCACACCACCCACTGCATGCCTCACACACCCACTGCATGCCTCACACCACCCACTGCATGCCTCACACCACCCACTGCATGCCTCACACCACCCACTGCATGCCTCACACCACCCACTGCATGCCTCACACCACCCACTGCATGCCTCACACCACCCACTGCATGCCTCACACCACCCACTGCATGCCTCACACCACCCACTGCATGCCTCACACCACCCACTGCATGCCTCACACCACCCACTGCATGCCTCACACCACCCACTGCATGCCTCACACCACCCACTGCATGCCTCACACCACCCACTGCATGCCTCACACCACCCACTGCATGCCTCACACCACCCACTGCATGCCTCACACCACCCACTGCATGCCTCACACCACCCACTGCATGCCTCACACCACCCACTGCATGCCTCACACCACCCACTGCATGCCTCACACCACCCACTGCATGCCTCACACCACCCACTGCATGCCTCACACCACCCACTGCATGCCTCACACCACCCACTGCATGCCTCACACCACCCACTGCATGCCTCACACCACCCACTGCATGCCTCACACCACCCACTGCATGCCTCACACCACCCACTGCATGCCTCACACCACCCACTGCATGCCTCACACCACCCACTGCATGCCTCACACCACCCACTGCATGCCTCACACCACCCACTGCATGCCTCACACCACCCACTGCATGCCTCACACCACCCACTGCATGCCTCACACCACCCACTGCATGCCTCACACCACCCACTGCATGCCTCACACCACCCACTGCATGCCTCACACCACCCACTGCATGCCTCACACCACCCACTGCATGCCTCACACCACCCACTGCCATCCCCCGGTCCCAACCTTCTCTTGTGCCTTTGGTCCCAACCTTCTCTTGTGCCTTTGGTCCCAACCTTCTCTTGTGCCTTTGGTCCCAACCTTCTCTTGTGCCTTTGGTCCCAACCTTCTCTTGTGCCTTTGGTCCCAACCTTCTCTTGTGCCTTTGGTCCCAACCTTCTCTTGTGCCTTTGGTCCCAACCTTCTCTTGTGCCTTTGGTCCCAACCTTCTCTTGTGCCTTTGGTCCCAACCTTCTTCTCTCACCCCCCACCATGTCCTTTTACATGGCTCTGCTGACGTGGCATGTGCTGAATGCATTGAGGCGAGTCAGAGTGTGGCCGTGTCGCCATTCATCCTCAACTACAGCGGGGCGCTCTTCAGAATGTACCCAGGTGTGCTCCCATGCCATGCCAAGCCATCCCTCCCATGCCATGCCATGCCATGCCATGCCATCCCTCCCATGCCATGCCATGCCATGCCATGCCATGCCATCCCTCCCATGCCATGCCATGCCATGCCATCCCTCCCATGCCATGCCATGCCATGCCATGCCATGCCATCCCTCCCATGCCATGCCATGCCATGCCATCCCTCCCATGCCATGCCATGCCATGCCATGCCATGCCATCCCTCCCATGCCATGCCATGCCATGCCATGCCCACTGCACCGTAGCCCACCTGCCTGCACCATGGGCCATCTATCAGCAATGACACTAGCCGTGTGCTTGCTGCAATTCTGTGTCTGTGTGTGTTGTTGTGTTGTGTATTCCATGTGTATCTGCCTAGGAGTGTAACGTGTGATGATGCAGTTTCTTTCCTGCATCCTCACGCGCGCCTCCCCCCGGGCATGGGGCAGGGCCATGGCAGGTGATGGGGAAGCAGGAGGGCACGGGGTCGTACGTCTGTGTGGCGGAGGGGCCACAGCGCTTCCAACTCGGACAGGTCCGCCCCTTGCCTTTCCCCCCATGCTTTTCCCCCATGCCTTCCCCCAATTCCTTACCCCATGCCTTCCCTCCATGCCTTCGCCCCTATGCCTTCCCCCCATGCCTTCGCCCCTATGCCTCCCCCCCATGCCTTCTCCCCATGACTTCCCCCCATGACTTCCCCCCATGCCTTCCCCCATGCCTTCCTCCCATGCCTTCCCCCCATGCCTTCCCCCCATGCCTTCCCCCCATGCCTTCCCCCCATGCCTTCCCCCCATGCCTTCCCTCCATGCCCCCCTGCTCCGCTGTCCCCCCTTCCCCCGTGACTCTGCGCCGCAACCGTCTCTGCCCGTCTGCCCCTGTGCCCCTGTGCCCGTGTGCCCGTGTGCCACATGTGCTTGCGGGGGCGGCAGGTGAAGGAGGAGCTGCAGCGTGCGCTGGGGCTGGGCGAGGAGGATGGCTCCACCATGCAGTTCCTGCGCCGCGGCTACAAGGTCACACCGGGGGGGGGGGGGGGGGGGGGGGGGGGAGGGGGGGGGAGGGGGGGGGGGTTGCATCGAGCAAGGTGTGAGGGCGGGGGAAGCGGAGTGGGGGGGGTAGCAAGGCGAGGGAGAGGGGAAGTGGTGCAGAGACGCCCGGAGAGAAGCAGTGGGTGAGTGCAGGGCATGGGCGGGAGGGGCGGGCTAGGGCGATGCTGTGGCTGTGTGGGGGCAGGATGCCAGTAGGCAGGGGGGAGGGCCTGACTGTTGTGGCATGCGGTGAGGTGGGGCGAGCATGTGGGGGGAAGTGGGGCGAGCATGTGGGTGGAAGCGGGGCGAGCAGGTGGGTGGAAGTGGGATTCGCTTCCAGTGACCTCCCTCCCTGCTCCTCTGCCCTCACTGCCACCGCCCTCTGGATAGTGGTGTGCCTTGTCGTGTGGCTCTCATCTCATGCTGTGCCTGTGTGTGTGCAGACCAACACGTGGTGGGAAGAGCAGTCAGAGCAAGAGCAGTCAACGGAATGGAGAAGCTGAAGGATGGCTGTATAGAGGGGATAAAGAGAACAGCGCAAGAAAAGCTACAAGAGGATGCAGGTACAATTGCAGGACACTATTGTACGGTCATGATGGTGGATTCCAGTAGTCGCTCACATCTATCTCCTTCGGGTGCAGTCAACAAGACATCTACCATTAGAAGAATCTGCTCCACCTCCACACTGACTTGCACCCGTATCCCTTTCTCTCAATCAGCAATTTAATAAAATACTAAGCCGACCAGCAGCCCCTGTACGACAAAGTCACACTCACACAAATTGAATGACAGGTTTAATTGGGTACGGTAGCAGTTTTGTACTCATGTTCGTTTATGACACACTCAGCACAATCAGGTCAATCGGAGTTGCATGTTTGCACGATGAAGATTCTCCAACCATGATCAACCTGCTTAGGGTGCGTCAGATCCGTTGGCCGGATCAATCCGGCCGGCCGGATCTAGCGAAGGTTACACATTCACGACATTTGTAAGGTATTTCGTCAATTTCACACAATCCGGCCACTTGCTAAAAAATTGATGGCCGCTTTGATGGCCGGTTTAGCGGTCGACAACTTTCCGACGTGCAAACGAATCACGAGTCGACCACATTGTCGACTCGTGAGCGATACAGTACCTGTGCGACTTGGCCAACATACCCAAGTGACTCAACGTGTCACAAGGACGACTCGCACAGCGCTTTCAGCCCCGTTGAACATGACCACTTTTCGGGGTCACACTTGTGTAGTGCGAAACGTGCAATTTTACGCAAGACCAATCTGCGCCTCGCCACCTCGTTTTGACTGCGGAACATTGTTCTACTCCCTCACGGGGTCACACATGACGATCATTGCCAAACTCACCCAGGCAAAACCAGATTATGGCTTACAGGGATAGCAACGACATGAACACACATTCTAGCGACAATGGCGGCACCCCAGGCACTCGCCCAGATACACAACAGTCTACCAACGCTCCTCAGGCTCCACCCATCAGAACTGTCGGGGAGTCTTCCCGTGTGCACATTAACCCGTGGGAGCGTAATCCAGACTGGTGGATTAACAACCTACCCCGCCCAGACTCACCTTACGGTATCAACGATGACTACGGGGTAGGCGAGGAGGCCCCCGAAATATGCTCCGCCAATGACGACGAGGAGCTTGACCTAAACATAGGACGTACTAACACGGAGTCAGCGACGGCGACTACATCTACCGCTACCCGGACCACTTTGCCTAGATGGACCAAAGAAGAGGATTTTCTGTTGATGCAGGAGCGTCACGACATGCACGATGACTGGAATAACATGCGCGGAATGCAAGGCCAGAGCCAGCACGCCAAGCTGCATCGCAACCTGCTCGCCCGTAATCCGAGGTGGCGCCACTCGGTTTCCGCTCTCCGACCGAAGCTTCGCCGCATGGAAGCCACATGGCTTCGATGGATCAAGTTCTTGGAGCGCTCTGGCAAGGGTCGTGCGGATGGATGTCCGGCGTGGTATGATCTGGCCGACGCGATATTCCGACCGCGGGAATCTGTGAATCCAGAGACTACTGTGGAAAGCACCCCAACTGCAACGACGGCCAACACCGTGCCATTTACGGCGAATGGCGGGCACACAACAGCCGGGATCAACGAGGCGCCCAACTCTATCGCCGATAGCGTGGTGCCACCGTCGACTGGTCCAGGGTATGCTGTGCAACATGGCGGAACCCCGACCGCATTTGCACCAGTCGCATCCGGGTCTAGTGTACGCTCTGGTAAGCTTTCTGGGTTTTAAATGGTTGTGCTTTGATATTACACGTTAACCTGTTCAATTCCATTACAACATGAATTTCATCTCAACTATTACGCCGTCACTTTTTCTTCTAACCCCTGTACCTGCAACAGTGCAGGCTACTGAACCAGCCGTCGCCCCGCCGGTCGCCAATCCCCTCGTCACTTCGCCTTCACGGTCGACGGGCCCTGAACCAGCCCGCCCCGCGGCGTCAACGCCGACTCCGCCTCGTCAGCAAGCCTTGCCACGCGCGCGCGCAGGCGCTCTATCCCTCGGTGCTCAGCCGGGTGGATCTCTCCGCAGTGGACGCACCACGGCGAGGGCGCGTGTGACGTCTGCGGTTGGGATGTGGGGGGGTGAACATGATGGTGAGTATAGTGGGCGACCGGGACGACGTAAGGGCAAGGAGAAGATGATGTACGATATGTGTGGCTTCATGACGAAGGAGTTAACGAACGCCATCCAAACGACAATGACCCAGTTTTTTGAACGCACCCGAGAAGAGGACGAGAGAGCCCGGGATGCCCGAGACGCCAAGAGGCATAAAGGAAAGCAGAAAAGCGATTCCGCCTCAAAGTCGGAGTGAATCCGGCGATTTCGATGCCGTGATGTGCAAGGCTGGCGGCCGGCCCTTGAAGCCACCATCTATTTCTCGGGTACGGCATCTCCATTCGGTATCTTGTGCCAAGCACCATTTCTATGTTATGCAGGGTTACCACAGCCGCCACGGTGGCCGGCACATGGCGACGGTGGCATTCCATTCTGGCGTCTAGGATACGCCATTTTGTCTTTAAGCGCCCGTTGACTTGCTCAACTATCATGCGCGCCCGCGACTGCTGCTTGTTCCACACGGCTTGCGCGTCCGGCAGTAGCTGGCCTGGGGTGGCTCGGAAAGGCACGTAGATGTAGTTTTTGAGGCCGTATGCCGCATCGCTGACGATGCAGTAGTTGCCAATCCCTCCGCAGTCTATCATTTGTTTAGCTTTGGAATTAGTGAAAACCTTGGAATCATTGCACGAACCCGGCCAGCCAGCCAACATGCTCCAAACAAGGCCGTTGGCGTCGACGAGTAGTTGAAGGATAATGCTGAAGAAGCCTTTCCGGTTCTTAAAATCCTCCGCATGTGGTCCGGAACCGCGGGTGTGTATGTATGTGCCGTCCATAGCACCCACAATCCCTGGGATCCCACTGTCCCATTTGAAATCTGCTTCAGAGGCAGCAAGTTCGTCTGTGTCAGGCCATAAAATCCATTCGGCCATGAGGACGTCTTCATTGAATCGAACCCAGGCCTTCACAATCGTGTGGGCATGCGCGTGTGAGAAGCCAAAAAGCAAGCCCAGCTGAAGAAATGTCATCCCGCTTCCAAAGCGAAGGAGCACAAGAGCTACTTGGAGAGCCACCTTGCATGCATGTTTGCCAGTGCTGATGAGGTGTTCAGACCACACGCGGCAGAGGTAACCGAATACGTCACGATCAACTCGCTGTGTTTCGTATAGGTGGTCTGGGGACATGTGCAAGAAGCGCTCCATCCAACGCGCTCGTTGAATACTTCGGTCATTTCGCCAGAACACTTGGTAATCGCTCTCGTCAGCAAAGTCAAGGAGCAAGGGCACCATGACACCGACTGCAGCGACCAAGGGGATGAGCACAACGTGCGTGAGGCCGATTGCTAAACGTCGTGCCCATCTGGGTGTGAAAGGATCCGCCATGTTGGATAATGGATAGAGTGTACGACGTTCGGGTTTTTGTATGCTCTCGTCACACTCAGTTCGGGTAGACGACACGATCTCGCCGAGCCGGGTTGTAAATGGAGCCGCACCTCACATCTTGACTCTCTGATCGTGGTGCGCACAATAGCGGTTGTGTCACTTCAGTAACAATACGTGCGATACCGTCGCACAATCCGGCCAACTTTGCGACCTGCAAATCCGACACCGGATCAATCCGGCCTGTAAATCGGTGTCAGAATGAGAACTACAGCGGAATGCGTTGTATTGACAGAATTGGGGTACATCACCTAACCCTAACTAGTTGTACCCCATATAGCCCAACCCACTACAGGCTATAATATTTGACACACCCCCATAGCCTAAGTGGGGAAGGCCAATCAACAACAAGCAACCTACGGTCACAAGACCAGTCAAAAACAAGAGAAAGAAAACAAAGCTCAGGGTGGATCACAACGTCACCACCTAATCTGAGCACAAGCAAAGGGCCACAAGGCCAGTCCAAAAGTGTGCAAACAAATATATATATAAGGTACAAGCAAGCAACAGACAAAGAGCACCCTACAGCAGTCAACTAGACCCAGTCTCAACGAGGCCTAACTGCAGACAAAACCGACGGTGGTCACAAGGCTGGAGGGCCTTGGTGAAGATGTCTGCAGTGTTGGCCTCGGAGGCCACAAAGTCCAGACGAGCCTGTCCGCGTCTCTGCATCTCGAAGGAGGAAGTACCTGACGTCGATGTGTTTCACTCGGCTCTCCAGTCGAGGCTCACGACACAGGAGAATCATCGCCCTGTTGTCAGCAAACAGCGTCGGTGCAGAGCTCGGCCGCTCACCAAGGTCAGTGAGCAAAAAGGTCAACCAGCGTAGCTCCTGAGCAGCAAGGGCCCCAGCGTAGATCTCGGCCTCTGCGGTAGAAGTCGCAACAGAGGAGGACCGAGTAGACCTCAACGAAACAGCTCCAGAACCCAGGCTGAAACAGTAACCCTGCGTAGACCTCTGAGTCTCAACGTCGTCAGCGTAGGAAGAGTCACAGTGACTGGTGAGTACAACTGGCTGTGTCCCTCCAAGTACAAGCCCCATGCCTGATGACGCGCCAAGGTACTTCGCCACCCTCTTAGCCGCCGCCCAGTGAACAGGACGGTGTCTCCCAGTCGCAACAAAGCGAGACATGATGCTAAGGGGGAAGGCGAGGTCCGGGCGAGTGCACGTCATCAGGTACATGAGGCAGCCCACCAGCTCTGCGTAGGGACCACTGGGCTCGAACGGCTCGTCAGGAAAAGGCCCAGTGAGTCTGTGGTCTACAGCAAGAGGAGTGGGGGCAGGAGAAGAGTCCTGAAGCCTGAACCGCTGAAGAACCTGCTGCACCATGTGTGACTGAGTGAGAGTGATGGTGCGAGCGGCTCTGTCCCTGGAGATCTGCAGGCCAAGGTAGCGGCGCAGTTCCCCAAGGTCAGTGCAGGTGTGTCTCTTCTGCAGTTCGGACTTCACCTCCGCCAGTGCAGC